GAGAGGGACTGGTGCAGGGGTATGGGAGAAGGAGAAGCTTCCACAGAGGTGCCCACATCTGACCTCAGAACACAAGAGATTCTGATGAGCTGAGGTTGGGAAATGGGGCAGAGGGAACCACAGAGACAAAGGTGTAGAGGGATGAGGAAAATCCCTGTCTAATTAGGACATAGTAAGACCCGTGTTAGTGGGGGCTGTGTGTGTGTGTGTGTGTGTGTCTGTCTGTCTGTCTGTCTGTCTGTCTGTCTGTCCAGTCAAGTCAGCAGAACATGGATGGAGGGCAAGGTCATTCATAGTGGACTTGGACTCTTGCATACCTGGCCAGGTGGCTTGTGACATCACCTGGAACAGAAACCAAAACCAGGCAGGTGAAGATTTTCTTTGGTCCAAACAGAATTTGTTGACTGACTGTTCAATCAATGCAACATTAAGAATTCAAGAGATTTTCAGTCACTATCTGGATTTCCAATCTGGACAGTCAGCTCTGGCTCCCCTGGGCCCACATGCTGGAGCAGGAAGTACCCATCACAGGACTGTTCAGATGGAATTGAACAGGGAGCTGATTGGGAGCCTTTGCCATGGCATGGCACAGGAAGGGATGACAGCCAGGTGCCTGGTGTGCAGAATGCATGAATGACAACACCTACAACTGTTCACTAGATGGTCAGCCTAAGTTTGACATGGGGAGAAAAGTAACTTGGAGCACCATTCCATGAATAGTGCTGCCCGACCCTGACGCTGGTTTGTTATGTGAAGGAAGACCCCAGACTCATGCTTTCTACCTGGTGCTCATTCACATCAGGCCAGGGCCAGGCCTTTCAGGGAGACCCTACCCTCTTTGGGTTCTAGTCCTCACACTCCCGCTCTACCCTTTTGTAGCATCTTGGGGCTGCTTCTCAGGGTTCCTCAGGTCATCATCACCTTCCCCAACACACACTCTGCCCAGCACTGCCAGGTTGAGGGGGTCCCTTCCTGCTAGCCTACTTCACCCATTCCCACCCTCAGCCAACGCAAGGAGACCATCTATAGCAATTGCAGCCTGGGCAATTCTGACGTGAGCCCTCCAGGCCCTAAGGGCCTCTGGAATCATGAAGACAATGACGTCTCTCCACCAGAATGTGCTGGAGAGGCAGAACTGGGGAGGTTGCAATCACCTACCATCCTCCCTGAGTGCTCACTGAGCATCTCTGTGTGACTGTTCCAGGCACTGAGGAAACAGCAGCATCAACCCCACAGGGCAGCCAATTCAGCGAGGGTGTTGCAGAATTGTTTTAAGTTATGGTATATTCTGTACTGATGAATGCTATGAAGAAGGGTGCTTGGGGGCTGGACTATACAGCCCTATTATTCCTCCTTCCCCGCCTCCTTTCCTCCTTTTCTCCCTCCTTCCCTCCTTCCTTCTCTCCCTCTTTCTCTCCTTTCCTTCCTTCTTTTATTCTTTTAGTTTTAATTTTGTCCTTGACAGGGCTTCACTATTATAGCCCAGACTGACCTTAAACTTGCAATCAGGGCTGAAGAGATGACTCATTGGTTAAGAGCACTTACTGCTCTTCCAGAGGACCAGAATTCAGTTCCCAGCACCCACATGGCCACTAATAGCAGCCCCTAACTCCAGGAGATCCAATGTCCTCTTCTGGCCTCCACAGGCATTGCAAGACACAGGGAAAACATACACATAAAAATAAAGTCTAAAAATTTTTTTGTAAGTCCTTGTACTCAGTCCTTCTGCCTTAGCTCCTGACTGTTGGAATTATGGTTAGACATCATCACCAGGCTTGGTTCAGCTCTATTTTATATAGCAGCAGTTCTCAAACGTTTTGGCCTTAGGAACCTTTACAGTTTTTTGTTTGTTTGATTTTTGGTCTTTTTGAAACTGGATCTCCCTGTAGCCCCAGCCAGCCTGAGACTTGTTATGTAGATCAGGCTGGCCTTGATCTCACAGAGGTCTGCCTACCTCTGCCTCCCAAATGCTGGGATTAAAAGTGTGTGTTACAGGGGCTAGAGAGATGGCTCAGTGGTTAAGAGCACTGACTGCTCTTGCAGAGGACTCGGGTTCAATTCCCAGTACCCACGTGGCGGCTACAAACTGTCCTTAACTCCAGTTCCAGGGGAATCCAAAGCCCTCTTCTGACCTCCTTGGCATTGCATGACACAGGTGCACTCACATACATGCAGGCAATACACTCATACACATAAAATAAAAATAATTTTTTTTTAAAAAAAGTGTATGTTATGCCAGCGTGGTGGCGCATGCCTTTAATCCTAGCACTCAGGAGGCAGAGGCAGGTGGGAAAATAATTTTTTTTAAAAAAAAGTGTATGTTATGCCAGTGTGGTGGCGCATGCCTTTAATCCTAGCACTCAGGAGGCAGAGGCAGGTGGATATCTGTGAGTTCAAGGCCAGCCTGGTCTACATAGTGAGTTCCAGGACAGCTGGGGCTACAGGGAGACCCTGTCTCAAAAAGACCAAAAAAAAAAAAAAAAAAGACCAAAAAAAAAAATGTGTGTTACAATGCTTGGCTCACTTTTTTTTAGATGCCCTTTGTATGGCGCCCTGGCTGGTCTGGCATTCACTATGTGCCCTCTGCTTGGCTTCAAACTCAAGGCAATCCTCTTGTCTTAGCCCCCTGAGTGCTGTGATTTCAAGCAATCACCACCACACCTGGTTCTCTTTATACTCTTAAAGATTGAGGACCTAAAGGGCCTTTTCATTATATGAGCAATAGATGTCAATGGCATGTCCAACATTAAAACTGAGAAATTTATTTTTTTTGTATATGTGATATATGTGTGTATGTTGTGTACACACGTGTATGTAGGTGCACTTGCCTGTGTGGAGCCCAGAAGTCGACATCAGGTGTTTTTACTATTGCTTTCACTGAACCTGGAGCTCAGTGTTTTGGCTAGACTGGCTGGCCAGCAAGCCCCTAGGATGCTCCTGTCTCTGTCCTCCCAGTGTTAGGGCTACACACACCACTGCACCAGGCTTTTACATGAGTGCTGAGGATCTGAACTCAGGTCTTCATGCTTATACAGCAAGCACTTTATCCACTGAGCCATTTCCCCAGCTCCAACTTTTTAAATTTTTTACTTACTGATTCGCTTAAAATGACAGCAACATAAGGCCTGAATATCAATCCCCAGTAACACAAAAATTAAAAATAAGATAATAAAGATCCGCCTGCCTCTGCCTCCCAAGTACTGGGATTAAAGCCATGCACCACCATGCTGAGTTCCAGGACAGCTGGGGCTACAAGGAGACCCTGTCTCAAAAAGACTAAATAAATAAATAAATAAATAAATAAAAATAAGGTAAGAAACGCTTCACATGTTAACATATTTTTATGAAATATTTTTCCAAAATTAGTGGGCATAATGGTGCTGTTTCATGTTGATGCGAATCCTCTGGAAGATTGAGCTTAAGAAACAGCAGGTGTCTTTCTTTATACCTCCAGTTTCACCTGTACATTCATGAAAACGTGAAATAAGGCAAGTGCTGTTCTGATGTTATAAAATGTAACTGTCTGTATCGCCCCCTAAAAAGGTCTTGAGGACTTCAGGCATCTGTGGCCCTTAATCTGAGAACTATTATAAGGCAGGGACCTGGAAGGTAGGAGGAGGAAGAGAACTATGTGAATTCCTGTGGGATCCTAGGCACGGGGGAGATGATTCAGCTGGTAAAATGCTTGCTGTGCTTTGCATGAAGACCTTACTCCAGTTCCTAGTACCTATGTTGTTTAAAAAGAAAAGAAAAAAAAAAAGGCATGGCATAGTTGCTTGTAACGGAGGCAGAGACATATCCCTACAACTTGCTGGCCAGCTAGTCTACCTAACTGGTGATCCCCAGTCCCAGTGAGAGACTTTCCCAAAACATGAGGCGTATGGCTCTTGGCTCTTGAGGAGTGACACTCAAGGTTAACCTCTGGCCTTCAAATACACACATGTACATGCACCCCCGGGTGTGTACACACACACACACACACACACACACACACACACACACACATTCTAGGCAGAGGGAAGAGCAGGTACAAACAGAACTGGATCATTTTCCCCATTCACACCGAGGAAACTGACGTTCAGTGCAGAAGCAACTTTTCCAGTGGCACACGCCCCTCAAAGGAGGCTGTGGTGACTGTCCCCAGGACCTAGGCAGGCAGATCTAGGGTAGAGGGTAGTCTCATGACTGTAGGTCTTCTGCTGACCCTGATAATGACCTTTCCCAATTCCAACTGGACCCTTCCCATTCCTCATCTCTTCCAAGGCTGGGCCTGAGATGCTGTATACGACCCCATGAGCAAAAACCGTTAGTGGAAATGTGACAAACTGATTCCCTGGTGAGTGCTGACTTCCTGTCTAGCCCAAATATGGACAATTCTGAGAAACAGTCAGTCCCAGGGATAGCATCTCATCCTCTACTGAGGATCAAGGGTAAGTCCTTTCTTAGACTCCTTTCAAAGGAGAAGACTACAGCCGGGTGTGGTGGCGCACGCCTTTAATCCCAGCCCTTGGAAGGCAGAGGCAGGCAGATCTTTGTGAGTTCGAGACCAGCCTGGTCTACATAGTAAGTTCCAGGACAGCTGGGGCTACAAGGAGACCCTGTCTCAAAAAAAAAAAAAAAAAAAAAAGACAACAAAAAGACTGCAAAGCTGAGAATGGACCAGAGACCTGGACGCAAACCCCTTCTCCTTCTCTCATTTCTATGCTCTGCAGTTTGCCCATCTGTAAAATGGGCTCCAAGTAGAATTAAAGGAATTGACACACTTAACCTCCAGTACCCTGTATTAATACCTAGTACAGCTTTCCATACCTGTGAGTTCCCATGTCCCCTGGCCAGCCAAGACTGCTGGCTTTGGCAGCTTCATTCCAGCTCCAGTGAGGCCTTGGGAGCTCCCCACAGGTGAAAGGTATGGGGGACTTCAAGGACATGCTAACATGTAGGTCAGCTCTTTCCCTCTGGGCCAGGGCTTCATCCTTAGCCAGCTGACTTTCAATCAGGAAACCAGAGAGTACAGACAGCCCTGATTAGCTGAGTCACACAAGGCTTTACCAGTTGGTTGATCAGTAACCTCTCGACCTCAAGGATATGAGACAGATCCCCAAGTCCCCAGTAGTAACCAGAATTCAAGAGAGATTGGCCTTGTGGGTACACTTGGCTTCCCAGCCAAATGAGAGACTATGGAAGTGGAGTTATGGAAAGGTCTCAGGGGTGAGTTTTCACAAATGCTTGACAATGACCTAACCCAGGACTCCAAGGGCACAGGTAGAAGTGAACAAGAGACAGTTAGTCAGCCCTTTTAACCAGATCTGGATGTGAATACCCACTTTTCTGGCTGCCTGCCTTAGGTAAGTGGCTCCTGTCTCTAAACCTTCATTTTTTTTTCGTATGTATGAGTGTATTACCTGCTTGTGTGTAAGTGCACCTGTGTTATGCAATGCCTGCAGAGCTCAGAAAAGGACATCAGATCCCTGGAACTGGAGTTACAGATGGTTGTTAGCTAAGCCACCATGTGGGTACTAGGAATCAAACCCTGGTCCTCTGCAAGAGCAGTCAGTGCTCTTAACAACTGAGCCATCTCTCCAGCCCCAAATCCTCATTTCTAATGGAAGGTAATAACTCTACCTTAGAGCCTTTTTGTGAGAATTATACCAAATGACAGGTAGAGTCTTGTGCTTGCACACTCCCCAGTTGGGAGAAGGAGGTGGGTGGACTCTGATACTCAAAGAGCTTGAGAACAAAGGAAATACAATTTTTTAAATCCAGCTCTTTCAGGAGCTCAGGGGGTAACTGCTGTACAAGCATGAGAACCTGAGTTTTGATCCTCTGCCCCCACATAAAAGCTGGGCACAGCAGCTTGCATCTGTACCCAAGTGCTTGGGGTCGGGGATGGGAACAGAGGCAGGCTGATCCTGGAGGCTCACTGACTCTATCCAAAACATTTAACTCCAGGTTCAGTGAAAGACCCTGCCTCAAAAAGAAATGTCAAGGGCAATAGAAGAAGACACCCAACAGCTCACCTGCACACACACACACACACACACACACACACACACACATAGTTTTCTTGTAGATTTAGGATACTAAAACAAATGAGAGAAATGGCCTTCAGGGTGTCCATCAGTCACTCAAAAAGGGTTGATGATCCCCTGTTCAGTGCCAGGCCCAAGGGTATATGATGAGCCACCAGCCTTCTCCATGTATGGTCTACAGGGAGACAATACTGGGCAGCAAGGTGGTGAGAGCAAGAGGGGACTCTGGAAGCTTCTCTTGGCCTCTGCAAGAAGACTTTGAGCCAAGACCTGGAAAGAGAGCCAGGTGGTTCAAGAATAGAGGAAGAATGTTCTGGGATGAGCAGGTGCAAAGGTCAGGAGCGGGCATCTGGAAGCCGAGTAGGGCAGGAAGAAGTGAAGAGTTCTGCATCACTTTGTAAAAGAGGATCCCAACCAAATTTAAATGTTTGTCATTCAAGATGCTTAAGCAACTTATGAGACATGAGTGGAATGTGGTTTGGCCCTTCACAAAGAATGGAGCTTTCGCTGGATGTGGTGCTTTAATCCCAGCCCTTGGGAGGCAGAGGCAGGCAGATCTTTGTGAGTTTGAGGCCAGTCTGATCTACATAGCGAGTTCTGGGCCAACTGGAGCTACAGGAGAGACCTTGTCTCAAAAAAGGGACTGAAGCTTGATGTATGAAGATGCTCTCCAAGAGAAGTGGTCAGTTGATTCTAAGACTCCATCTTACCTGTGGCAGAGACTTTTCAAGTGCTTTACAAATATTATTTCATGACCCTGACACCAAACCAGGCTCATTTTGCTCTCCATGTAGTATACCAATCAGAAAATACAAATTTTGCAAAAGTGATTCATATGTGAGGACATATTCAGATGTGAGGACATGGGAGACCCAAGCTCCAGTCTGTCTTCCTGTAGGTAGGGCTTGAGGTACAGAGGTTTGTTCAGATTTTCCCTTGGTTTCCCATACACCATGAGCCATGGACTGTGGATACTTACCAAAGTCCCACAGCCCAGAAGTGGGGAGGCATGAAGTTGAGGGTCTGGTTCTAACATCAATGCTCTTAACTGCTGAGCCATCCTTCCCTCTCTTGTGGGGTATATGAGAGACTTCCATCCATACAAAACAAAATGTTTATGGATCTGTATCTGCTTCTCTATACAGGTGGCACTCTGGAAAGACAGACCAAAGTGTGACTGTGGTTTTGGAGCGGGGCATCTGGATGGCTGAGAGGGTAGGAGGGGACTTATTTTACACTGTCCATTTTTGTGTGTGCTTTAAAAGTTTGACCCTTATCTTTTTTATAAGAAGGGGGTCTTTCTATGTTTCTGAAGCTGGTCTTGAATTCCTGGGATTAAGTAATCCTCCTGCCTCAGCTTCCTGAGTAGCTGGGATCACAGGCACACATCATGCATGAGTCTATAATGTATATGAAAGATCACCCTGACTCTGGGAAGAGACTGGACAGGCAGCACACTGTGAGGTTCACCTTAGAAACCAATACTCCAGGAGTATTTCCCCAAGAGGAAAGTCCTGGTCATGTTCAAGTTCAGGTTTTCAGTTGGTGGGGTTGCTTTTTTTGTTTTTGGCAAGGTCACTGTGCACATTTACTAATAGTCATGTGATGTCTATTCTTATGACAATGGCAGCCAAGGAGGATGAAAAACATCTACTTGAACTCTGAGTAGATGCAGTGTGGTGGCCTTCATTATGGATCTTCCTCATCAATCACCTGGAATGAACTATAAAGAAGGTTAGATGGTTAGATATTAAATACAGGACAATCTTTAATCCCTCTTCTTTAACTTCCTAGTTTTTCCAACAATAATATAGGTCCTAGCAGCCTCCAGACCATCAGGGAAGGCCTATGTCATTTTTTTTCATTTTTACTTTGAGAATCATCTCTAACTCATGGATGTAAAGACTTGTGATAAGTTCTAATCCCTTGCAGTTCTAATTCTCACAGTAACTGCAGTTTTGTGTACTTTGGAAACACCCTGACCATGGAATCTATCCAGTATGTCAAAGTCCTCATTTCTGCCCAGTGAACCCAGGGCTCTAATAATCAATTTCTGGTTTTAGAATGTTTCTGTCACTGAGAGACAGCTGTTTTGTTTGATCCATGAGGATGTTTAAGAAAAAGGTGGTATATTGCCGGGCATGGTGGCACACGACTTTAATCCCAGTACTTGGGAGGCAGATGCAGGTGGATCTCTGTGAGTTCAAGGCCAGCCTGGTCTCCTTAGTGCATCCAGGCCAGCTGGGGCTACAGGGAGACCCTGTCTCAAAAAAAAAAAAAAAAAAAAAAAAAAAAAAAGGTGGTATAAACATTTTATTTTTAATTCTTTATATTTTTGTTAGCATACAAAGCAATGGGTCTCACCATGCCATTTTTGTGTCGTTACACTTTTTATATATATGTGTGTGTACAGTCATGCCATGGCACACATGTGGAAGTCAGAAGACAACCTGTGGGTGTTGGCTTTCTCCTTCCACTGTATGGGTACTAAGGATCAAAATCAAGTCATCAGGCTTGGCAGCAAATGTCTTTAGCTACTGAGCCATCTCACCAGCCTGTGTCATTATACTTTGCTATAATTAATTTAGCAACATTATTAAATCAGAAAGTTCCATACATAAAAAACTAAGAACCTGTTGACTGTTTAATTTTTTTTAAAAAATCATCCAGAAAGATGTATAATATCACTACTAATGTTAAAATGCTAGTGAAAACCACACTGAGATACTACTTCATATTCTTTACAATGGCTGTATTAAAAAAGAATGAAAAAGTTGGGTGTGCCGGTGCACGCCTTTAGTCCCAGCACTCAGGAGGCAGAGGCAGGTGAATCTCTGTAAGATGGAGGCCAGCCTGGTATACATAGAGAGTTCCAGGCCAACTGGGGCTACAGGGAGACCCTGTCTCAACAAACAAACAAAACACACACAAAAAAAACAAGACAACAAGTATTGGTGAGATTGTAAGGAAATCAGACTTCCCAGTGTGATGGCTAATCTTGGTTATCAACTTGACTGGATCCAGAGTTAATTAAATGCAAGCTTCTAAGTCCTCCTGTGAGGGACTTTCTTGATAAATTATCTGAAGTGGGAAGAACTACCCTAAATGTGGGCAGCACCTTCCAGTGTCAGCCCAGATAAAAGGTCATGGAAGAAGGAAATGACTTTTTGCCTGTTCACCTTCACTCTTACTAGCAAGTTCCTCCATCCTGCTCCTTCACTGACATTAGAACCAATTTCTTCAAGTTTCCACTATAAACTGATGATCAGCAGCTCTCCAGAAATCTCCAGGCCTTCAGAGCCAGATTGGGACTACTGAGTCATCCAGCCTCAGGGACTGAGCAACTATCAGAGTCTCAGCGTGGCACAGCCATTGTTGGGCTACCTGGACCATATCCTGTAAACCATGTAGTAAATCCCCTTTTAATATGTAAGTTCATTGTATCAGTTCTGTTCCTGTAGAGAACCCTGACTAATACCCATGCACATCTGGGGCAATGCAAAGTAGTAGCTTATTTGGAAAACAGTAGTAGGTCCTCTCAAAGTTCAATGTAGTTGCCATATGGTCCAATAGCTCCACTTCTAGGTGCAGACCCAAAATAACTGAAATGAAGCATTCAAACATATGCATATACGTGCTATTCATAATAGCACCATTTCCAATGGCCAAAAGGTGGCAAGGATCCAACTGTGCATCAACTGATATTTAAAATGTGACACATCCACACAATGGAATATTATTTATCCATAAAAAGAAATGAAGTTCCATCACATATTACAACTTAGATGGTGTCATAGTTTTTATCAACTTGACACAAATCTAGACACGCCTGGCAAGAGGGAAGCTCAACTGAGGAACATCCTTCATTAGACTGGCCTGTAGGCATGTCTGTATTTCTTTTTCTTGATTACTGATTGATGTGGGAGAGTCCAGCCCATTGTGGGTGGTACCATCCATCCCTGGGCAAGAAAGCCTGGGCTGTATAAGAAAGGTAGCTGATGCCGAGCATGGTAGCACATGCCTTTAATCCCAGCACTCGGGAGGCAGAGGTAGGTGGATCTCTGTGAGTTCAAGGCCAGCCTGGTCTACATAGTGAGTTCCAGGACAGCTGGGGCTACAGGGAGACCTTGTCTCAAAAAGACAAA